TGCGATAGAAATGAATTTACCTGTGGGAGCTGATCGGTCTCTGGAAGAGGAGTTTTCTTACTACCCAGCTTGTCCCCAACGTTGTATCCAGCGTTGCCATTATTCTACGTAAAGGAAACCAAAATGATAAGATTCACATCATCTTAAGATGGCCGGAAGGCATTGCAGGCTTTGCTTGTAGCCGATTATAAGGAATATTAGCGTCACTGCTACGAAATACTGGAGACAATGTGCCATCCGTATCGTGTTTGGCTGCTATTATAATTAGATGGCAGCAAAGGGAGGGGCAGACCGGCCAACTCACTCACTCAACCTCTTCATCCCAGTGGGGACATAAGGCCGCAAGACAGGGCCATGCCTTACGAAAATTGTGTGTTAGAGGATAATTGACCATCAGCGTGGAGAGTGAGTGACAATTCACCAATCGAAAAGAAAATCGCTTTAAATCATTTGCAGCATCATGAGGATAAACACTGCAGTTCCATCTACCTGTGAATCAAACAGTCTGTTGGCATTCGTGACTGCTGCACCTTCACCGCTCAGTCGATTGTTTGATCCTGGTGGAGTATGCAAGTATATATCTGACACGCCAGGCTGAAGAAGAGCAGTTATCAGGAAAGCCCAAACGAAAATACTCTTCATGGTCTGCACCTGCGAAACAATTAACAAAGCGCTTTTTAAAGGATTAATGAAGGGTCTATAATTGCTAGTGGTCCCTCAGAATCAGTGTGGCGGAGGTAGGCATGTTACGCCTGAGCAAACGAGGCAAACGCACGAGAATGAACGTGTCGGCTACTTAAGACTTTGCAGTACCACCTTATCCTATTATATTCTCCCTCGAGCATTTGCCTTGCTCACTCGCATGTAGCGTAACAAATCTGAGAAATTGCTAGCAGTCTATAACTCTCTGAGTATTTCGTTTTTCTCAGGTGTAAACACTAATGTTGCATTCTATAGGCAACCTTGTTCAACATTGTTGGACACGCTTTTGCTAATTACCCTTACTAAGATGGCGACGGCAACGAGAAATTATCAAACAAAAGTTTTGGTCAGCTTAAAACAGAAACGCTGCAGGCGCATCACATTTTTCTGTACACTGTCTTTACTATCCCTCCACAACTGCGACGTGAAATGACCAAATTAACTTAAAGCTTTCGTGAGAACGTGAAGGAAAGGCGATAAATTTTATTGTATCTGTCTGAGCCGGCTCGGACACATTCAGTTTTTCAGTGACGTTTTCCGATCGAAAGGTTCCTATTTTAATTATGATCAGTTGTTTATGTTTGCTTCGTGATTCGGCAATTGAGTTATCATGCATGTTTTAGCATTGTTAGCGAACAACAGAAATTTAAAGTTTTAATTTGAAAAGCTCATGGAATGAATCCGAGGGTAATGCCCTATAAGGGAGGCTCCGCACGAAAGTGGGCGAAAGTGGATTCATTCCATGAGCTTTTCAAATTAAAACAGATTTATGCACAAGAAAGTGGCGAGGTTTCTGGAAAAAACACCCCGTGGAATAACCTAAGAGTTTTAAAACTTTCAAATTATAAGAGCATCTTTGTGACGTTCTGATAGATCATCAGGTAGATTGAGCTTAGCCGTTAAACGTGGATTGTCCTTCCTCGCCTCGCACACAACGCTGTTGGGAGCAACCTACAATCGCGCTCAGCTCATAGTTCAAGCTCCTTTGTCACAATTAGGTCTGGGAAAAAAAATTAAATACTAGGAGGTTTTTCAGCTCTGAATCAACGTAAACCGTCAAATAAGCCAGTACAGAAACAAGCTAAATCTTTTTTACGCTTCCTCCACTTTTTAAAGTAGATGTACTTAAAAGTACACCTACGCTACAAACCTCTACGCTAGGTGTAAATACTAAGTAACTAACAATAGATTTCACCTCAGTTATACAAACATCAAACACCTTTTCTGCGATAATGATCGAGCGTGTACGAAATCTTCGAATTTCCGCTTTATGTTTGGTTATTAGAAAAAAAAGACAAAGAAGGTAGAGTAGCCTTATCTCATGAGAATAGGTAATATTTGGTGAAAGGTAATTATAAGTTTTGAAGCAACGCAGACAATTAAGTCCTGAAATGAAAGAAAACTGATGTTTTTAATTCAAAACGTGCAACAATCTGTGCAACCATCTTGCATGAAGCATGCCTACCTTTCCGTAGTGTGCAAACACACTATGTTCTAGAGTTACAACAGCGACTGGATTTGGCCTTTCGATCACTATTGGTAGCCAGTAGTAACATGCGCCTCCACCGAGAGAAAGGAGCGAATGATCATATTTTCTTAGTAAGAATTTATTATAGGACTTTTTCAATAATGTTTGTTATTTTTAAGTCTTAGTTTAATGTGCACGGCTCTTTAGAAGACCACTTTTTAGTGATAAGGATTCCGTGGTTAAATAAAGTTATTACTTACTTACTATAGCGCCTTTGTTTCTCTGGGAAAATGTTCTGAATTTTAATTTTACATGTGGGTTCAATATATTTTTGACAGCTAGTCAATTTAGGACAATAGGATTTACGCAAAGAAAAAACAAACAGATGACTAAATGACGGCTATTCATGAAAGCGGTAACTCGTCGGCTTTTGAAAATTTAGTGGCTGTTTACATGGAGGGAGGAAGACCTTTAGCATTAGTAAGATCCGAGAGGACGCGGATAAAATTCTTAAAATAAATATGCAAACACATCATTCTCTCTTGGTAAACAACACCAGTTGATGACCTTTCCGTAAGAGCAAATAAAATAGGCCAATTTCGGCCAAGTCAAAAACGAACATTCCCTGTCCCTGATTGATATCTCTATCAACACTGAACAACAACAAAAAAACAACTTGAGATTAAGTAACTGCGTTGAAACGTTTTCAACATAAAAAATTCTGCTGAAAACAGGACTGTCAACAGTTCTTACCTTGAGTATGTGGTTGCAGACTGAGGTTCGAGTATAACCGGGTACGTGCAATCACGACTAACGAGTAGCGCCTTTTTATAACAAAACTTCGACCCACTCTGATTAAAGGTGAGCAAATAAAAAGCTGTCACATCGGCAGACAGTTATGCGTTATAAAATCCCATTCTTTTATCGCAGGCCGTTACCTGGAACTATTATATTGCTATGATCAACACCTCATAGAGCTACGCTTTTTCACAAACTATGCTAACTTAATTTCATCGTTCAGAATGCTATTGTTGAAACGCAACATCAGTAAAGGTAATCCCCCATAGAATCCCTTTAATTACTAGCCTACTCGAGCTCCCCCAAGCGTAAATCCACCTGAATCTTAATCACCAATATTCCAAGACAGTTATGGACTAGGGAAAACTAGTTAATCAACGAAAAGCTGAGTCAGGTGTTCATATTTTTGTTTTAATGTTCCTCGACCGATCGTAACTCAGCTGGATATTCCTGATCCTCGGACAGGGTATGTCATAAGTTGGCCCAATATTTGCATTTGATCAACCGAGCAAAACATGATAAATGATAACAACTGATTCAAGCTAGCAACTGTCTAATTTGCCTTTGAAAGTTTGTTATATGCTCGGGAAAATTTCCATTTTAACTACTTAATATGATCTTGTTCCACAAGCAACTGAAGACTGAAGACTGTGAATTTGGCCGAGTCTGAATCAATATTCTACAAATAGATATATAATCAAGGCCTTTAAAGCTACGGTTGAGATTTCTGAACTTGTGAGAATTTAATAGCAATTCGATAAAAAAAACTTCATATGAAAAAATAACTTTCAAACTTGTCCAACGAGGATTTTCAAAACAGTTGTTGAACGTATTTTAGTTTAAACTTGTCTCCTAAAACTTTTCATCTGTTCGCAATGAATAATCCGAAAATTTCAAACCGTTTAAAATGTGTCCATCATAAATGTGGAACAGATAAAAATTGCCGTTGGGTGCCCCTGACTTGTCCATCATAGTGGTCAAGATCACAGGTCCGTTTTACCGAGGAAATTCATCATGCACAGAATTCAAATTAACCTTCCTTTTTCGGTTCATTGCATTATCACTAACTTGAAAATTGGAAACATCGACACTAAGTAAAAAAAAAAAAAATTCAGAAACTGTCAACTAATTGATGGCCACATAGAAAAGAACTCGTCGACTTTAAAATTATAAAGAGTTATATAGTTTGCATTCCGTCGTGGTCAAGAAGAGCGCTCGACTTACGAGGAGAGTGCTGCATCAGCAGAGAGATTTGCCTAGTTCCTAGACGGCCCGTATAAATGCGTTTTGGGAATTTTCTCTTCCTCTCTTTTCTTTGCTGTTAATAATTTACTAGCAGATGTAACAATTATACATTACCCTCTGCTCAGGTTATGATGCGTGCTCAAAAGTAGCTTGTTTTGAAGTAAATTAATTAATGTCCTTGTCAGTATGTTTGTCATCATGTCAAGATGTCCTCATGACCCCCTCATGTCTCAACAAGGCAATACTGAAGAGGGAATAGACTGCGAGCAGTCTATGATTTTATCTTTTCAAGTCAGTGCGCGGTAAAACACCTGTTATAATTTTAACGTGTAAAAAAAGCGCTAAACATTTCAAAACGCGCAAAAATCTGTTGTTGTATGAAGTAATCCTACCTTTCTATAGTAGGCAACAGTATGTTCAAATCAGAGTTACAATTTACAGCGACTGGATTTGCCTTTTCGATCACTATTCTTGATACAGTAGTGAAGGAGATGCGTCTCCACCCAAGCAAAAAGGCGACTGATCACAGCGCGTTGGTTTCTCAGGGAAAATGCTCTGAATTTTAATTTCAGTTGTCGGATCGATATATTTCTTACAACTAGCCAGTTTGGGACAATTATAGGATTTGCGCAAGGAAAAAACAAGTTGCTAACTAACTGATGGCTATTGAAAAGAAATCGTGAGCTTTTGTAAAAATTTAGTGGCTGTTAACATGGAGAGAGGAAGACCTTTTCTAGAAAGATCCTAGAGGACGCGAGTGAAAGTCTGTAAATAGATGTGCAAACAACACATTTAACCACCCAAATATCAAGTTAAAAACGAGCATTTCCCAGTAGAAATCGTCTGTACCAACAAAAATTAAAACAACTTGAAACATTTAGTAATTGCTTTACAACATTTTCGAAATATAAAAGAAAATTTCTGCTTAAAACAGGACTTTCAACAATTCTTACCTTGAGTATGTAGCTTATATGCAGACTGAGGTTGGAAGATAACATACGTGTAATCACGACTAACGAGTAGCGCCTTTTTATAACAAAATTTATATCTGCAGGGCAAAATAATAATCTTTAAACAGGGTAATCATATTCTTTTGACGAATCGTATCCGTTTGTGTATATTGGTCATGTTTTGAGTATGTAGTTTGAGTAATTTGAGTGATTTATAGACATCTTGTGGTTTGCTTTAGGAAACGGAACCGCCATTTTCAAACACTTTATTAGAACTGGAAATTTCGATGGAATGAATTTTACAACACAATGATTTTTCTTGAAGTAAACAAATAAGATTTCTTGCATGATAACAAAAAACAAAAACTTCCAAGAAGGACGTAAAAAACTAATTTTAAAAAAGCAAAACCAGTCAGACTCAGTAAATGAGTCAGGCGAAGAACTTTGATAGAGGCAATGAATAGACCGTAGGTCACAGAAAAGTGATAAGAATTATGACATACCCTCTTTTAATCGGATGTTCTAGAATCCAAAGTTTAAAACTTCACCCCAGCTCATTAGAACTGCGGCATTTTAATGTCACTGGCACAAAAGAAGCGTTATTAAAACTAGCCAAGTAGAAACGATTGCCTCCGGATTGTGAATGACCTCAATCCACTATTAAGGGTGAACTTGGATCAGTGTTAATGACTCGATAAACTGTTAATGATTAGGCAGCCAAACCGGTAGACAGTTATGCGTCATATCTAAAGTCCCTTTCTTTTCTCGCAAGCCGTGACTGCCTCGGCTATTGTATCGCTGTTATTAACACCTCCCTATATACTCCCACGCATTTTATCACCAACTATGCTAGCTTTTTGTGTAATTTCATCGTCCTATTTGTAACACGACATCAGGAGTGGTAATTTCCCTCAGAATCCCTTTTTAATTACTAGCATACTCCCGCAAGCGTTACCCTAGAGTAGCAGGTTTCTTTCTTGCATGGCTTTTAGCGTTTACGAATTCGAAGTCGTTGGCGTGGCTTGTCTGTCGCGTAGTTGGTTTGTTTGCCCCATAAACCAACTACGCGACAAACAAGCCACGCCAACGACTTCGTAAACCTAAAAGCATACAAGAGAGAAACCTCTGCTCGCATGGTAGCAAGCATGAAGCCGCCTTAGCTTAGTTACAACTTCTTCACCCAAACCGCAATTATGCAAACACAACTTGATTGTGATCAAGACAGTCATGGACAAGGGAAAACTAGTTAAGCAACGAAAAGCTGAGCCTGTTATTCATATCTTTGTTTTAACGTTCCTCGACCGATCGTAAATCAGCTGGATATTCCTGATCCTCGGACAGGGTATGTCATAAGTTGGCTCAATATTTGCATTTGATCAACCGAGCAAAACATGATAAATGATAACAACTGATTCAAGCTAGCAACTATCTAATTTGCCTTTGAAAATTTGTTTATTATATGCTTGGTAAAAATTCCATTTTACCTACTTAATATGTTCTTTTTCAACAAGCAACTGTAAAACAAAGAAGACTGCATGTGGATTTGGCTGCGTCTGAATCCTGATTCTACAAATAGAAATGTCCGTTTTATATTTCTGCACTGGTGAGAATTTAATGGCAGTAATTCAGTATCAAAAAAAAACTCCTTAGATTTTACAGTTGGTCTTACCTCGTAGCAATGAATAATTTTCAACCTTTTCAGTGCAGGATTAAGTAGATCGCAGGTCCGACTTTATCTAGGAAATTCATCATGCACAGAATTTAAAGTAACCTTCCTTTTCGCTTCATTGTATTATCGTTAACTTATAAATTGGAAACATCGACACTGATCTACACAAAGAAGAAAAATAAGAAACTGTCAACTAATTGATGGCCATAGAAAAGAACTCGTCGACTTTGAAATTATGAAGAATTATAGTTTGCATTCCGTCGTGGTCAGGAGGAGCGCTTACATTGACTTAGCTTCCGAGGAGAGTGCCGAGCTAGTGTTGCATGAGAACGGTATATGCGTTTTGGGAATTCTTTCTTCCTCTCTTTTTCTTTGCTATAAATTTCTAGCAGATGTAACAATTATGCATTACCCTCGGCTCAGGTTATAATGCGTGCCCAGTGAGTATCTTGTTTTGAAATAATTAATGTCCGTGTCAGTATATGTCCTCGTTTCTCGACAGGGCAACTGACTGAAGAGGGAATAGACTGCGAGCAGTCTAATTTTATCTTTTTCATGTCAGTGTGGTAAAAACCCCAATTATCACATTAACGTAAAAAAAAAAGAGGCTCTAAAACATTTAAAAACGTGCAACAATCTGTTTTTACATGAAGCATTCCTACCTTTCTGTATTGCGCAAAACACAATGTGTTCAAATCATGAGAGTTCTGATACGGCAACAGCGACTGGATTTGCCTCTTCGATCACTATTCTTGATACGGTAGTGACGCAGATGCGCCTCCACCCAGTGAAAGAAGCGCGTTGGTTTCTCTGGGAAAATGCTCTGAATTTTAATTTCAGTTGTCGGATCAATATATTTTTTACAACTAGCCAATCAGTTGGGACCATAGGATTTGCGCAAGAAAAAAACAAGTTGCCAACTAAGTGATGGCTATTGAAAAGAAATCGTCGGCTATTGTAAAAATTTAGGGGCTTTTTACATGGAGGGATCGAGGAAGTCAAGACCTTAATTTAGCACTAGTAAGATCCTAGAGGACGCGGATGAAATTCTGTAAATAGATATGCAATTAGCACCAGTGGATGACCTTTCCGTGAGAGAAATTAGAATGGGTGAATTTCACTCAAATATCAAGTTAAAAACCGGACTGATTCCCTCCTGGATATCGGCTGTACCAACAAAAAATAAAACAACTTGAAACATGGTTTGAAACATTTTCAACATATAAAAGAAAATTTTTGCTTAAAACAGGACTGTCAACAGTTCTTACCTTTAGTATGTAGTTGCAGACTGAGGTCCGAAAAAACATAGTTACATGTAATCACGACTAACAACTAGCGCCTTTTTATAACAAAATTTATGTCCCCAGGCCAAATAATAATCTTTACACAGGGTAATTGTATTCTTTTGACGAATCGTATCCGTTTGTGTATATTGGACATGTTTTGCTCTTCTAAAGTGGTTTGAGTAATTTAAGTGATTTATATAGACATCTTGTGGTTTGCTCCATGAAACGGAACCGCCATTTTCAAACAATTTCATTCGATGGTATGCTGCAAAGCATGGAGGGTAAAATAATGAATTTACAACACAATGACTTTTCTCGAAGTAAACAAATATGATTTCTTGCATGATAACAACAAACAAAAACTTCCATGAAACAAGTAAAGCAAAACCAGTCAGTAAATGAGTCAGGTAAAGAACGTTGACCGTAGATCATAGAAGGGTGTAAGAATTATGACGTATGTCTTTAATCGAATGTTCTAGAATCAGAAGTTTAAAACTTCACCCTGGCTGATTAGAACTGAGGCATTTTAATGTCACTGGCACAAAAGAAGCGTTATTAAACTAGCCAAGTAGAAACGATTGCCTCAATTGTGAATGACCTCAATCCACTATTAAGGATGAACTTGGATGACTCCGGCGATAAACGCTGTTAATGATTAGGCAGCTAAAGCCACACACCCCCAGTTATGCGTCATATCTAAAGTCCCATTCTTTAATTGCAAGCCACGTGACTGCCTGGGCTATTATATCGCTATGATTAACACCTACCATTGCTAGCTTTTTGTTTACTTTCATCTTCCAGAATACTATTGTTGTAACACGAGATCAGGAGAGGTAATTCCTCTCAGAATCCCTTCCCGCAAGCGTTACCCTGGTTTCTCTGTTTCACCCTGGTTTCTCTCTTACACAACCTCGTCCCCCTCTGCTCGCAGGGCTTTTCCAACTTCTTCACCCAAACCGCAAATGGTGGGGATTAATTCGAAAATCTTAATCGCCAAAATTCCAATTTGTTAAACCTCGACCGATCGTCTGAAGGAGGACGGGGTTCTACACGAAAAATATCTGTTCGAAGAAAATCATTTGAAACTGTCAAATAATTGATGACAAAAAAAACTCGTCGACTTTGAAATTAAGAAGAATTACAGTCTGCATTTCGTCGTGGTCAATTCGAAGAGTTTTTATACTTCCCCTTTCGAGAAAACATGAGTGCTGTATCAGAGTTAGGAACTATCTAATTTGCAAATTAACCTTCCTTTTCAGATTTTCCATTAACTAGCCTTCCCAGACGGACCCAAATAATTGATGACCATAGTGATATGGATGCGTTTTTTCGGAATTCTCGATCTCTTCCCTTCCCAGACGCGACGGACCCCGGTTTTGCTTTGCTATAATTTACTAGCAGATCGTAACAATTATGCATTACCCTCGGCTCAATATATAAGACGTTAAATCAGGATGCGTACCGTAAAAAGTTTGTTTTCTTGAAGCGGTAAAAAAAAAAAAAACGGGAATATCGACCGGCCCAAAAGTAGCTTGTTTTAAAATAATTTATGCCCGTGTCAATATGATTGTTATGCTCGAAAGGGCAATAATGAAGAGGGAATAGACTGCGAGGAGCCTTAATTTATCAACCGCACCTATGAGAACATTAAGGCGGCAAAGGAGTAGGACCGTGGTTTCCACTGGCAAGGAACGAGTACCCTGGTATTCGCTGGGGAGGTAACTCGGCGTTTTAGTAACGATAAAAGGAAAGGCGTACCGCAGGCGGTCTTGATCATGAAAAGGAAGGAAGTTCATAGTAGGAAGCCGGAAGCCCTAAGTGGCTGCAGTGTTTATTTAGCCACAACAGCGTACGCTCTGGCTGCTCATGTTCACGCTTATGCTGGCTAATAAGGACGAAATTACTACGCATGTTCAGAAACTTAAACGTGTCGCAGAATATATTTATTTTTTGTACATTACTGCAGCAATAATAGTATATATATAAGCAATAATAAAATGGTGATGTTTTTCTGTCAGTGGATGATCGAATTTTTGCTGTCGCTATTTTTCAGGCACGTAGTGTGGGCGGATTTCACAAATATCATCTGATCGCGGACAACCAAGCATTCCGGCTAGTCGACATCTCTGTAAAAAATAAAAACAAAATATAAAGGAACCGCTTTGAAATGTTTCCCGCATATCTGCAAAAGAAAATTTAGCGGGACAAAAACAGTCATTTCTTATCTGAGTGTAGTATAATTACAAACTACCGTAAAATTCCGACTAATTTTTGTACTTGCCAATTAAATAACTATATTTATAAGTACAATTTTCACTCTTGGCTTGGATTTCCTCGGTCTATATTACCGTGATCAATTACTATACCGTGACATCAATGCAATTTCCTTCCACCAATATGCTAGCCCAATCGATTTTGAGACACAAATTTCCGTCCAAGTATAAGGGAGCATTCATTTTTTAGAAGTGGGGGTGGGCCGGAGGAATCCCTATGAGCATGAATGTAAAATCTCCCAGCCCTCCCTTTATATTTTTTGTTAAAAAATGTGACCCTCCCCGGGAAGCAGTAAAATTTATACTGACCCACCCCTTCCTCCTGACAAACATGGTTTGTGGCTGGATTGTGCAACGATTGTACCACTTCATATATTCCAAGAGCCAGTGATGTAGCTGTTTTGTCTAAACATTTGGATTAGCTCACTAGCTTGAAAACTGAAGTAAAGAAGCTCAAAAACGAAGTGGTAGCCATGGATCAAGGCCTTTTTGATAAGAGTGGTAGGTGCCTTTCTCCTGGGAAATCTATTCACCATGACTTTAATTCTGCTACAGTGAACAAGCTTAATGAGCTAGGTCAAAACGCTTCAGCATTTATGGCTCAGGTTGATGAAAAGCTAAAGGAGTTACAGAGCACATTCAAGGGCTTGGTCTTCAAGCCATCTACCTCCAAAGCTCGAAAGAGGAGGCAAAACAAAAGGAAAGGTATCAAACGAAAGTTAGCCAGGATGGAGAATGCAAAAACAAGAGTTCTGCAAAAGGTTTTACCAAGGGTCAGCCATGACAACGTTGATATAACTATTGGGGTGGAAGACATTTTCATTGCAGCATTAGTAAGTTTATCAAGAAGGGAGGCAAAGGTTTTGCATGAGACACTCAAGTCAGACAACCGATTCTCAGAAGCTGCTAAGGCCTACATTTCTGATTCCTTACCACCATCCTTGGCCTTATCTGATAGTGACACTGGACGAAAAAACGGATTTACTAATGTTTGCGAAAGGTGCAAATATGTGGTAAATTTGGAGCTCCAAATTTGCTTTACATTTGCGCTGTCGGCTAAAGTGTGGGCAAATTCATATATTTGCTAGATAGGTATTGATACGCAAAAGTCAAGTAAATGTAATGGTTTGATACAAATTTGATACATATTTGCAGCATGGGCAAATCTTCAACATTTCTACCAATTTACTCAAATTTACATCCTTGGCAAAAATGACAGTTTTCACTGTACTTCAAATGCAGGCAAAAATATTGCAAAACCACTAATTTGCAGTGGTGTTTGCTCTTGTTTTTCCAGGATACCAAAAGAACACTTTTGCATGTGGTTTACTCGTATTTGCCTTAAGAGCAAAAACAATAAATTTCTACACATTTGGCTGTATCATAAATTTGAACATTTGTATCATAATTATCCATATTTGCAAGGGGAGCAAATATAGTGAACTGCATAACATTTGCTGACAGTCAAAGGTGATGTGCATGTGACATTTCCTATATGTTTGATTCGTTTTGTGACTAAAGTAAATTTCCAATCTCAACTGTAACATTACATTGTTACAA